TTCCTCCTGACAACACTTAGGAAGATGTCTGAGAGGACCATCACCTCTCCTTTTTCTTCATGACAACTATTAACTTGAATTCAATTTTTAGTTTCTGACTAAAAGTGAAACATTATGGCCTAAAAGAAAACTCTTGGAACGCTCGGGTTCCTTTTTCCTTGGCTTGGTTATCTGGAGAGCTGCCCGTGTTCCACTGGCTGCTCCATGGCTCTCAGCACACGGAGGGACAGCAGCATGGTGCAGGTTACAGTACGTGCTTGTCTCTTTGTAACAGAACTTCTGTGCAGGAGCTCCACACTCCTAACCTAAACCCCACCCCTCACTGTGATGGCTGGAAGGAGAAAGGGCCCCAGAGGCTCCGTGGACTGCCCGATTCCCAGCTGGTGGAACTGTTGGGAAGGATTAGAAGGAGTGGCCTTGTTGGAGGAGAGGTGTCATATGGGTGGTCTTTGAGGTTTCAAAAGCCCTTGCCATTCCCAATTAGCTCTCCCTTTTCCCCACCTCTCTCTGTCTCCCTGTGTCCCTCTCTCCCTTCCCCTCTGACTTTTGAATGTGGAAGGAGCTTTCAGCTACTGCTCAAGCACCATGATGGCCCGCAGCCATGCTTCCGGCCATGAGGGTCATAGACTCACCCTCTAAAACTGTAAACTACTGTACACTTCCTTCTATGAGCTGCCTTGGTCATGGTGTTTTGTTACAGCAACAGAAAACTAATTCTACCACTAGGCCTAACCCCATATAACCCTAATCCCTTCCTTGTCCCTAACACTTAGCCCTAACCATCATTAAATCTAATCCCCATAACCTTCAAACCTAAGCCTAAATAACTTCTAATCCTCCAAATCTAACTCCAACTCTAATCTTAAAAGCCAAGGTCTAGGAGTTAGAACCCTAACAGACTCGTTCTTCAGACACCATCCCCCCACTTAAATGTTTTCGTTTATAAGAGTTGCCATGGTCATGGTGTCTCTTTACAGCAATAAAACCCTAAGACAACATTTAATAACACTTTTTAACCTGTTGCTCCTGCCTGATGTTTCTGAAATTTTCACTGCTTCTACCTGCTATGCTCAAGATTTTTCCTGCCTTAATTCTTTAATTGGCAGAGAAAAAGAACCTGATCTAAAGCCCTAGGCAGTAACATTGTGGGAGACTCATAGTCAAAGATTTCTTCTAAGAACCACTGGCTCAGTATAAGCCAAGCTAAACCATGAAAGTGTTATGCCCAGATTGGGACCCCAAAGAATCCACCACAGACCTTAGGTACAGAATGCAATAGCATGGTTTATTTCTGTTTACAAGCCACGGGCAGGGAAGCTCAATCCAAAGCACTCACTCGTAGTAACCGTGAGGCCAGGAGGAACTTGCTTTTTCTTTGTGTGGCTAGCTTTTTAAAGGCAAAATCCACAAGCCCTTCAGGGGGGTTGGGGGAGTTTTGCACGGGTGCAACTCGGATTGGTTTATTTTTATCTCTGTTCTCTTTTAATTGGGTGAGGGTATGTAACCTTTGAATTTACTGGTTGGTGGTTACAATTTATTACTTTGGGGGCAGTCCAGCACAAGTCCCAGGCTTTGTCCTTGAGCCACCATGGGGGCTGGCTGGCCAAGCACGTACTGCACATAACTCTAAGTTGGTGAGGGGCCCCAGACAGTAAACATCTGGCTGAACTTCATGGCCCTCCCAGAAACTGCTTGCTCAAGTCTCAGGAAACTGAAATTGAGGCCTGATCTCTGAGAGAAGACTGAGCAGCCTGTTATGGCATCTGCTTGGTCCTTTCAAAAGGATGGGCGCAATCACTGAGCTTCCAGAATTCTTCCTCCTTCCTGGAATGGCGGAGAGGGTGTCTAGGGATGGTTGGTGGAAGCCCCAAGTTGATTTATTTCTCCCCTCTTTCAGGAAGGGATCCCCCTCAGACTTTAGCTTCAAGGTGTTTCAGAGAGTAAGAGAATGTTTTTCAGATAGTTCTGACCTCTGAAACTACCCCCTGGAGTGGGGCAAAGAGATCTTAGAGTTAATCAATGACAGTGACTTTTACCCCAAAGGAGATAAAGTTTTCACCTTTATTCTGTAACATCTTTTTCCTCATTAGTGGCAGGATTGCGACAATATATTTTCTTTGTGCTTATCTCATCTCTAAATCAAAATGAAAGGAGCTGTTAGCAAGGCCACTAAGACTATACTTTCTTTAAATCAAGCCATTGGCTAACCTAGGTGCCATTCACCACGCCTACCAGGGACAGAGGTTAGCTAGCTCCCCCTACTGGCCTAAATTCAGAATAGCTGGGAAAGAAAGAAAGAAGGGTAAATTAAAACTTGAGATACCCTCACTGGACTGACTGGGGCTGATCTTGAGATCACCTTCATACAGCATAAGGTGATCCTCAGTAACGCCACTGTGGGGCTTACACAGACTCACTGGTAGCCAAAAAAAGGTCCCTGTGATACTGTTTCACAACAAATCCTCCTGGGAGAGATGAGTGGCTGTCTCTTTGGTCACTGGTAGGGCAACTTCCTCTAAGGATATTTGGGCAGCCATTATCATTAAAAACAAACTGCACACTTTGGTTTCTTCTTAAGCCTTTAATTTATCCACCTTCTCCTTTTCCCTTCTGCAATCTCAAAAAGGTGAACAAACGAACAGGGAGATCCAGAGCGAGAAAAATTTCTCCTTTCTGCTCCACCTCACTTGCTCTACCTCCACTGGCTGACCAGAAGCTCCCAGAATACATGTTTAGCCAATTGGCCAGCACCTTCTTGCTGGCTAATCGTTTTTTCAGGCCATTGTTTGAGATGCACTGGGGTCCTACTCCACTCTGCATGAGATGAGAAGTGACTTTGGTTTACATCACTTCAGACAGTACCGAAATCATTATACTGCTTCCAAAGGAAGAGTGCTGCCTGAGGCTAAGGGCGCTTCTCGCCTTGATCTCTCCGTCTACAGATAAGGTTAGAAGGAATTGCCGTACATCCTGGAATGGAGAAAAACCAGAGGTAACTGAGAAAGAAGAGAAACTGGTGGGGACCAGAACAGCGGGTGTGGGTAAGCAGAACCAGTCCCTCACTGGGAAAGGATCATAGGGGTGCACTTTGGGGTCACACCAACTTTCCCCTTCACTGAGTTGACTCAAGATTAGATGACCTCCACTGGTCTCCCAGCCCTGGTGTCACTGTACAGAAGGGGACAGATGATTCCTTAGGAGTCCCTATTGGCCTGCAGGTTACACCTCCAAAGGTTTTAGTAGAAAATCTTTTTCCACACATGCAGGGCCTGAATAGCATTGGGGTGGGGAAGGGGTGGGGGTGGATAATGAAAAAGCGGCCCTAGAGTTTTTTGTTGTTGCTGTTATTGTTTGAGACAGGGTCTCTCCACATAGCCCTGACTGTCCTGGAACTCACTATGTAGACTAAACTGGCCTCATACTCACTGAGATTCATCTACCTCTGCCTCTCAAGTGCTGGGATTAAAGGCATGCACCACCATACTCAATCTAGGGGAAACTGAATTATACCATCCTTCAATTAGTTATTCTGTAAATAAGGGAAGTTACCTGAAATGCCCTACTCCCAACTCTTCTTTTTCTGTAAGATCACCATGAACTCGCTAGAAAATACAGGATGGACTCAAAAGACTGGATGCAGTGTGCTCTAGCCCAGGAAGAAATGATGTGCCGGGGGGGGGGGGGGGGGGGGGGGGGGGGGGGGCAATTAGGGGGTAAAAAGTCTCTCTCGAGAATCCTTCCACTAAAAAGTAAAAAGTCTCCGAAGCGCCGTCCTGATCTCTGGAACAAGGCTCCCAATGTCCTGCCTATCTGTGCCCACTCCCTCATCCAAGGAGAAACTAGAGTGCTCTTCTGCTGCCCCTCCCACACACTCCCAGACATCTTAAGTGTCAGGAGACAGTCAAAACCCATGTCCTTGCCTTCTACACCTTCACAGAACTGAGAGCTGGGAAATTAAACTGAGGACTAAGGCAAGTATGTTCAATCCTGTGAGCAATTAAATCAGATATATGGATTATCCTATTACTAAACTAACCCCTTTAGAAAGAAGGGGAGTAATTAGACTGGGCTGTTACAAGTGGAAAGTGATTTCTTCACTGCCCATGGGACTAAGATAAGAACTTCCCCACAGAAATCAAAATGACAATTATGAAGAATGGGCAGGCTATTTTCTTTATTGGAGAATATAGGGTTTAGGAAATCTAAAGTTAAGCCTCCTTGTTACACCCAGTTACCCTACACATACCTAAGGAAGACATGGAGGTCTCCAGTCTTCAGATTACAAGAAGCTCTGAGGAAAATCCACTAATACAGGACTGGAATCACAGTAGGAAGTAATCTGAACTGTCTTTCACACCAGTAATTACTATATCAAGATAGGAAAACACAAACACATCCACTCAGACACACACATGCTATTATTAGTTCCATGGATCTCTTAGTCTTAAAATTAATCATTATATTGTAATAATTATGTATTCCAATGTAACTCAAACCCTAAATTTGTGTGTTTCATAGACTAAAGTGTAACATATAAAAACATTATAGGTTAAAATTTTGTAATCACTGAAGGCTCAAAAATTGAGTTTATATACTTCTATACTATCTTTCCCATAATTGGCTTTCCAGCAATAAAAATGAAGTGAATAAAAATGTAATTTATGCGAATGTTCTCCAAATAATTTTAAACTTTAATGAAAATGAGAAAATGGTTACTAGAGATATTCTGCTAACCCAGTAGTCTAGTAGCTAAACACCTGGGCCAGAGCAATTAATTCCCACAATGCACAATTTTAGCATACCAGGAAAGTACTCATTAAGTACAACATACACACACACACACACACACACACACACACACACACACACACACAATGTAAATAAGCTATTATTTATATATTATGTATTATGTAATACATGTGTGTATATATATAATATACAATATTAAATTTTTATTATATATAACAAATAAGGTATTACAAAGTCTGGGAAACAAACAGGCTAAAAGCTCTGCAGAATTAGTCAAACAAGATACATTATTTTATGCACAAGTTATGAGTTCTTGTTTCCATGAAGTTTGAATTTATAAGAAATGTTATCTTTTCAAACAGGAGTTATCTTCACTATTCATAGCTCTGAGTACACTAATGATGTACAACTTAAGCAAATAAAAGGCTGCCATGCATCCTCTCTATATTGGATTTCTTCCCAACATGATTCTTTCACATTCACTAAAACCTGAAGTTTGAAAAGGTGTTACTATACTATACATTGGTGCACTGGAGTGAGAAGGCTATCTGGTAAGGCACCTGCCACCAAGCCTGATGACTTGAGTTTGATCCCTAGAACCCACATGGAGGAAGAAAAACTGACTCCCCCAAGCTGACCTCTAATACATACATATATACATACAATCACATATACATACACACAGAAGTAATTATATTTATTTAAAAATTGTTTTCTCCAATGTAAATATTTTGACTATTCTCTGAGATACATATTTTGGACCAAGGCCTTCCCACATTCATTACATCTATAATATTTGCATATAGCATGAATTATCTATTAAATATGTTTGACATTTCAATAAAAACTTTGCCACGGGGCAGGAGAGATGGCTAAACAGATGGTGGCCAGCAACCAAATGGCAGGTGATAAATGTCTGTAATTCAGTCCCAGGAGGTCTGACACCCTCTTCTGGCCTTCACAGTGTGTCTATCAGGCAAGCCTGTGATGTACAGACATGCATTCAGACAAAACACCCATACACATAAATAAATTGTGTTTAAAAAGAAAAAAAAACTGCCAGCAGGCTGAGGGGATGGCTCAATGGGGCAAGTGGATGCTCTTCAAGCATGAGGACCCAAATTCAGACCCCCATCATTCATATCAAAAACTGGGCATAAGCCAGGCATGGTGGGATATGCCTTTAATCCCAGAACTAGGGAAGCAGAGGCAAGTAGATCTCTGTGAGTTCAAAGCCAACCTGATCTACACAGTGAGTTCTAGAATAGCCAGAATTACAGACAGTCTGTCTCAAAAAAAAAAAAAAAACAAAATTTTTAATTAAATAAAAACAAGCAAAGGCTGGAGAGATGGCTCTGCAGCTAAGAGCACTTACTGCTCTTCCAGAGGACCCATGTTCAATTCCCAGCACCCACATGGCAGCTAATAACTGTCTGTAACTCCAAAACCTGATACCCTCACACAGAAACATGCAGGCAAAACCACCAATGCACATAAAATAAATTAAAAAAAAAAAAAAACTAGCTGGGTATGGCAGGACAACTTGAGTAACTCTAGCACTAGGAGACTTAGAAAATTAAAATTCTGAGGGCTTGCTGGTCCCAATCAATGAACTCCAGGCTCAGTAAGAAAGTCTGTCTCGGGACTTGGGAGATAACTCAGAATAAGGATACTTTCCACCATGCCTAACAACCTTTAAGTCCAATCCCTGGGACCCACTGGTAGAAAGAACTGACTCCTGCAAGTTGCCCTCTAACCTCTGAACATACATGTATGTGCACACACATATAAGCATATAAATAAATAAATTTAAAATTTTTAAAGACAGGGCTGGAGAGTTGGCTCACTGGTTAAGAGCACTTATTATTGCTCTTGTAGAAGACTGAGATTTGGTTCCCAGCACCCACATGACACTATGAATTGTCTGTAACTTCAATTCCAGGGGATCTGATGACCTCTTATGGCCTCTGTGGGCAGTGCATGTAATGTACAGACACTCATACAGGCAGAACACTTACATAGATAAAAATCCTTTAAAATCTTTTTAAAAATAAAAATTTAGTCAGGTGGTGGTGGCACACACCTTTAATTCCAGCACTTGGCAGGTGGATTTCTGTGAATTTGAGGCTAGCCTGGTCTACAGAGTGAGTTCCAGGACAGCCAGGGCTACACAGAGAAAACCTGTCTCGGTGGGGAGTGGGGAGAATCTTAAACCTTGTATCAAAAACTAAAGTGAGGTCAGCAAGATGGCTCAGCAGCTAAGGCATCTGCAACCAAGCCTGACCTCCTGAGTTAGCTCCCCAGGATCCACATGTTGGAAGGAGATAACCAACCCCCAAATTATCCTCTAACCTCCACACACAAACCATGTCACATGCACACCCACACATACACATTAACACACAAAACAAAATGTTTAATGTAATTTAAAAAAATAAAATGGCAGAGAGCAATAGAGACAACCAATATTGACCTCTGAATTCCACACATGCCATCATGCATGTGCACACATGTGCATATGCATACACATGTGAATGCATGCACACACGCACACAGCTTGCCATAATCTTTACATCAGGAACGCTTCCCTCTAGTATGAATTCTGTTATGATGCCTAAGGATTGAAGATCTGGAAAAGGCTTTGCCACATGCTTTACACGTGTAGGGCTTCTCTCCAGTATGAATTCTCTGATGTACAATGAGGTGTGAACAACGTCTAAAGGCTTTGTTGCACTGTCCACATTTGTAGGGCTTCTCTCCAGTATGAATTCTATGATGCTTTCTAAGACTTGAGCTTGTGGTAAAAGCTTTGCCACACTCTTTACATGTGTAGGGTTTCTCTCCACTATGAACTCTGTGATGTCTTCTGAGATCCGAGCCTTTGGTAAAAGCTTTACCACACTCTTTACATTCATAGGGTTTCTCTCCTGTATGAGTTCGATGGTGGTACATAAATGATGGCCATTTGTGAAAGGCTTTGCCACATTCTTCACATTTATAGGGCTTCTCACCAGTATGAACTCTCTGATGCTCACAAAGTTTTGAAATCTGAGTAAAGGCTTTCTCACACTCTTTACACTTGTAGGGCTTCTCTCCAGTATGAATTACATGATGTCGTTTCAGGCTTAAACCATTGCTGAAGGCTTTGCCACACTCTTTACATATGAATGGCTTCTCACCAGTGTGAATGTTTTGGTGTTCATTAAGATTTGAAATATGAACAAAGGTCTTACCACACTCCTTACACTTGTGGGGCTTTGCTCCGGTATGAATGGCATGATGTCGTCTAAGAGTGGAACACTTGATAAAGGACTTGCCACATTCTCCAACATAAACTCTCCGGTGTTGACTAAGATGCCAGCTTTGGTTAAAAACTCGGCCACAATCTTGACATTTGTAAGGTTTCTCTCCAGTATGAATTCTCTGATGTTGTCTGAGGTTTGAACGTTTGTTAAAGGTTTTGCCACACTCTTTACATTCGTAAGGTTTCTCCCCTGTATGAATTCTCTGGTGGTAAGTAAAGGCTGAACAATCAATAAAGGCTTTGTCGCATTCTTTGCATTCAAAGAGTTTCTCTCCAGTATGAATTCTCTGGTGCACATTAAGATATGAACAACTATCAAAGGCCTTACCACATTCTTTACATTTGTAAGCCTTGTCTTGAAGGTGGGAACTCAGATGAAGATCTTTTGAGTCCTGATGAAAGACACATCTGTTACCTTTGTAAACATTCTCTGGAAAAGGAATATGTTTACTATGATTTGAACCATGATTAATGTCTTTATGGGTTTCAATGCATTTATAAGTTTTCTCTCCAATATAAATATCGTGGTAATTATTATTATTTTTTTTTTTTTTTTTTTTTGGTTTTTCGAGACAGGGTTTCTCTGTGTAGCTTTGCGCCTTTCCTGGAACTCACTTGGTAGTCCAGGCTGGCCTCGAACTCACAGAGATCCGCCTGGCTCTGCCTCCCGAGTGCTGGGATTAAAGGCGTGCGCCACCACCGCCCGGCCTGCGCCACCACCGCCCGGCCTGCGCCACCACCGCCCGGCCGGTAATTATTTTTGATACAGCTCCGACTAACAGTCTGTATAGTTTCATTAAACATGCCCTCCCTTTCCCAAATAGTTGTATCTGTGTTTTGACTTAACAATGATGGGTAAGAATCTCTGTGAGTTTGAGGCCAGCCTGGGCTACAGAGTGAGTTCCAGGACAGGCTCCAAAGCTATGCAGAGAAACCTGTCTCAAAAAACCAAAAAACAATGATGGGTAAGAAAATTCTTTCCTACATTCACTAAAATTGTATATTTTGGCACAAGGCGTTGTTTGTTTACTGCAAAATAATGAATTTTTTGTAAAAAAAAAAAAAAACTCTCAAACTGATCACATTCAGAAATATGTTCATTTTCTAATCTATCTCCAGAAATGTTTGAATAAAAGTATAATCCAGTGCTACATTTTAAACTGTTCAGCTTACTAGTTATACCTTGACCTAGGCCCCTTTCAGATGTCCCCAGTTTCCTTGCAAAGGAAAAGTACATTTCAAATGTCGCTGGGAACATTTGCTTATTGAAAGGTAGGGCTCTTCATGAGTACCTGCCATAACCTGAGTCTTTTTGGCAGAGATGTTTGTACTATTGTTAGTCACACACTGTCCACTGTAACACACTTTCTGACCTTCATTCTCACTTACACTTTCCCACGTTTTCCTTAAATGTGAACTGTCAATGCCACACTGTTCATGTCTTCTTAGTACTTCTTGGAATGAACGCTTTATGTTCTCCTTCGATGAAAAGTATTGGGTATAATGAGAAGAGACCACTGAAAGAAATAAAAACAAATGACCAGACTCAGTGAGAATACTGTGCACACACAACATAAGAAATCAGAGCAAAGAGAGGACATTAGCAGAGAAGCGGATAGCAAAACCAAGGCACTCATTACCCACAGGTACCAGCATGCTGACCAAATCCATCTGTAGATGCTGCAAGCCAAAGATACATGAAGTAGGATTTCAGCCGATTATGGCAAGCTAACACCTGGAAGAAGCCAAGGGCCTTCCAGAGGTCAAGCTGAGGCTCAAGGAGTCTTGGGAATACTGGCTTTTGACTATTAGCCGTTTCCTACTATGAATTTCTCATGTGCTATTGTAACTTTTCCATCATTCATTGGGCACAATCTCCCCTCTACTAATGGAATATTTAGATAACCTTCTGTGCAGTAACAAAGCCGGGATCCCTAATTTCAGGCCTTTCTGTCATTACTGTCATTAGCAGCATCCGGCCAGGACCATCCCCAAAAGTATCTTATCAGAGGTACCTCTGTACTCTCTAAGAATAATTAAGCATCCAGACTATAGGTTTGAGAAGGCCTGGAAGATATGCTAATTAAGTTTAACTTTCCCCTTTCCAAAGTCTTATCTCTAGTTTTAGCTCCATCTTTAACTATTAACTCAGAACCTAAGGGTTTCTACTTACAGATATATCAAGCCGACTCAGGCTGGCCAGCCACCAAGAGCACTCCCCTGCCCTGCCAGAAAACCGCAGTAGCCAAAATAATTTTGACAGATAAGGGGCCAAAGGAAAATAAGGAAGTTTTATTTCCACTCGTCACTGACAGACTCCTAACACTTTAACTAACCACTTCTAAGAACAAAGTTGAGCACATAAAATCCCCCTTGCTCAGATATTGACCGAATTTAGAGCTCAGTTGATTCTATTCCCCATTAGTCACTTCCCTTTTGGGTTGCAGATGGTGGCTGGCAATTACTGCTCTTTTGTGTGGATCTTATTGCCCCTCCTTTTGACCCTGAGGAAATTCAAGCCTGGTGACCCTGCTTTAGCCAGAGCATTGCTATTGCATGGGTATATAACTGTAAACCTCAGAGACTTGGGAGGACTAGACTGAGAAAAGAGAATGGAAGAACTAGATGGGTAAGAACCAGAAAGGAATGAACTGAAATGGGGAAGAACTAGATTGAAGGGCTAGAAGAGAGTATTAGAGGAATGAGATGGAAGATGAGGAAGAGCCAGATGGGGAAGAACAAGATGAGGAAGAAGGAGATGGGAGAGAAGCCAAGATGGGAAAGAACTAGATGGATGAGAACCTAGATGAGGCAGAACTAGATGAAGGAATTAAGATAGAACTTAGAGGGAACAGTAGATAAATGTAGAGAGAAATTGGGCAAGAAAGGAGCTAAATAAGAGAGCAGAACAGAAACTGTGTAGAAAGAGAACCGACTCAGAAGAATAAAGCGAATGGAATAAAGAGTTTCATGTATGTAGATTCAATAGAGTACCCCTCAGATTACCCCACACCATCCTTAGCCTCCTCCCCCAGGACTCTGGAAGAAATTTCCTCAGGGCAGGTCCCCGAGGAAATTTCGATATTTAAACCTTCCAGATGAACATAGCACTTAGGGAGGTCATGCAGCCGGGATTGTTATTTAATAACCACAGCTTTCCAATGCCCACACAACACTGGGAAGTTAGGGAAACACTCTCCATCTCCCTTCCTCTTCCTAAGGAGAACACAGAAAGGGTAAAACACATGTACAAACTCCTGGCTTTCTTGGGGACTATCTAAAAACTGGTTTCTATCGACCATGACACAAAAGTCCTACCAATAAATTATATTTTAGACAGCAGTATGGGCCAAAAAAGACCAAAGGTATAATACCAAAGAAATGATAGTGTACATATATTCAACAGGGGCAGGAGAACGAGAAATACAAGTCAACTTTTTCAAAAAAAAAAAAAATGCAAGCACATATACAGAGAAGAAACCGTGAAGTATATTTGAGAGGCTTCAATAATTTGGTTATAACTGATTGTCGTATTACCTGGTAGAGTGCACATTACCTTGGAAAACTGTCACACATTGTTTAAGCACACTGAGAAGCAAGCTCTAGAAACATGGTTCCTCCCTGCCCCACTTCAGACCCAAGCATGCTGGTTGTCGCCAAGTGTCCTCCAAAGTCTGGGGATGGGTTGCACCACCCCCAACTCTATCATAGGGACAAAAAGAGCTGCAAAACAACCCACAAATAAAAACACAGGGCTTTGGTTTTTCTTTTTAAGACAAGGTCTCTCTGTGTAGCCCTCACTGTCCTAGAAATATATAGATCAGGCTGGCCTCAAACTCAGAGATCAGCCGTGTGTGTGTGTGTGTGTGTGTGTGTGTGTGTGTGTGTATGTGTGTGTGTGTGTGTTATGTGTGTATACATATATACATACACAATACACACACACACACACACACACACACACACATATATATATATGACTATTGTAGATCATTTCCAGACCATATATAACACATGGATGGAGACAACGCATAAATGTCAGACAGATGACTTTTTTAATTTCTTAAAATGTACTACTTCTTAGTTTATTTAATTAACAAGTTTAAAAATCTATGTATCTATCATATACACTGTGATATTTTACCATAAATACACACGGTGGACCTAACACATAAATTATTTCACACAACTATCATTTTGTGATTAGAAAAATTTCTATCCATTCTATTAACACTTATCAAGAAGACAAAATAATTACTCATCAAGCTGCACAGCAGCACTCCTGACGGTCTTAAATCTATTAAACGATGTCCTGTAGCCTTTAATACAATCTAGACCTCCCAATGGGCAAAGCCACTGAGGCTAACTTTTCCAGACTCCACATGAGCGAGTCTCTCTTTGGTTTATTTCATTTAATGTAAAACCCTGGGTGTTACTCATGTTGCCTTAGATTACTTTTCTATGGTTGAACAGTAATCTATTGTAATCTAACGTGCCTTTACTCATTTGTCCATGGAAAGCCACCTGGGTTGATTATTTATGCTGCTCTGGACATGGCAGTAAAGCTCCCTATTATGTGGAATGATTTATGTTCCTTACCTAACATCCAGCCACGGAACCGCTAGGTCATGAGGTCGTTCTAAGTTTTTCTTTTCTTTTCTTTTTTTTTTTTTTTTTTTTGGTTGTTGTTGTAACTTCTCTACTATTTTCCACAACAGCTTCACTAATCTACTGTTCACTGGTTTAAAAATGGACAAATCTCAGTGAAAATTAACAGTATACAAAGAGACAGGGAGATCTGGCTCAACTGAGAACCTAGAATTCTAGAAATTGACCCTAAAAAAACTCAGGTTTATGAATTAGCCAAAGAAATCCACCATTTAAAGGATGTTAAATGACCTAAATGAGAACAAAGAAAACTTGGTACCAACACACCGTGCTGAAAGAAAAAAATTTGTATTAAAAAATAAAAAAAATAAAAAAAGAACAAAGAAAACAACGGAAAGATGGAAATGAGAAGATGAGCAAAGAGGTAACACATACATGCAAGCAAAACCCCAGTGCACCTGAAGTAAAAATAAATAAAAAAAATACCGTCGTGCTTCTTAATAAACTCGCTTGGCATAAGACAGCCTGTGCAAGACCTCCCAACCCCGGCTTTCTATCTTCCCTAGCCTCTTCTTCCCTGGTCCATTCTCTCTCAGGAACCGGTCCCTGAAGAACGACCTGCTGGTCCAGGTCACCTGGGCATACAGTCACCGTCTCTTGTTTCTTCACACTCCAAGGCTCTTCCCTTCGCTCTAGAAAGGTGACCATGAAAGACTTACGATTCTTGAGACTCTCAAAAGGAACTAATGACATCTATTCCAGTTGTGTGATTAATACAAAAGAAGATTGAACAGGGCTGGAGAGATGGCTCAGCAGTTAAGAGTACTTACTGCTCTTGAAGCATACCTGGGTTCAGTTTCCAGTACCCACATGGAAGCTCACATATATGAAACTCCATTTCCAGGAGATCTACTGCCCTTTCTAACCTTCATGGGCTCCTGCACACATGGGTGCACAGATATTTACTCGGGCACACATACATACACATAAAATAAACAAATATTTATTTTTTTAAAAAGATATAACAAGATTCTAGAAGTCTGTTTCTCCAAACATTGGTTCTTGAGACTTACAGAAGAATTCTAACTTGTAAATCCTGGGATCTACTTCCAACTACCACCAAATCAAAGGCAAGGGGTAGAAACTATTTTATGATGTAGCAAGTTTTTATGCCAATGAGTTCCTAATAACTACCACAAATGAAGAATGTGTATTACCTCAAGAAATGGAGTGGGCAGTTGGGCAGTGGTGATGCACGCCTTTAATCCCAACACTTGGGAGGCAGAGGCAGGCAGATCTTAGTGAGTTTGAGTTCCAGGACAGCCAGGACTGTTACAAAGAGAAACCCTTCTCGGAAAAATAAAGGAAGGAAGGAAGGAAAGAAAGAAAGAAAGAAAGGAAGGAAGGAAGGAAGGAAGGAAGGAAGAAGGAAGGAAAGAAGGAAAGAAAGAAAGAAGGAAAGAAAAAAGGAAAGAAAGAAGGAAGGAAAGAAAGAAAGAGAGAGAGAGAAAAGAAATGGAGTGGGTTACAAGCATATCACAAAAATATTACCTATACAAATACCTCATTTTTACCTGAAAAGCAAGAATCTGGAATACACTCATGCAGTATAAAGGTATGCAGGAGATATTCCCCAGAGGAAGGAAATGAATGTTGGCAGACCCACAGAGAGCAGGTTTCTGTAATTCTCCACCATCACATCCCTGTATAAGTCCTGCTGAACACAGTCCAGACATTCCCATTCTTCTGGAGAGAAATGAATGGCCACATCACCAAATGTCATCAGGTCCTAAAAGAAATAGAAATAACATATTAACTATTATTAACATTGACAGAGTTCCTAATTTGGCCAAAGATGAAAAGAGCTAGAACTGATTCTGACAGTAGTCTTAATTAATCATTAAAATGTTTGATGCAATTATATTTGCTTCTATATTATCTAACTCTGCAAAAAAGATGATAAAAGAGCCACAAAACCAATGTAGGTAATATTCTTATGAAATAATCAACGTTTTTTTTGGGGGGGGACAGGGTTTCATTGTATAGCCCCAGCTTGCCTAGAACTCACTGCATGGACCAGGCTGGCTTCAAACTCACATAGATCCACTTGCCTCTGCCTCTCAGGAGCTGGCATTAAAGGGTGCACCATAACATCTGGTGAAATAATGAAATTTTAAAGACAGGCATCAAGAAAGGAATAAATATATTAAATACTATATTTATATTTTAAAAAATAATAAACTAATTGTATTCCTCAAATGAGAAATTCACAATGAGTTACAAGAGTATTTCCAAATTTTAATGTATACAAGCATAAATTAGAATATTAAGCCGGGCGGTGGTGGCGCACGCCTTTAATCCCAGCACTCGGGAGGCAGAGCCAGGCGGATCTCTGTGAGTTCGAGGCCAGCCTGGGCTACCAAGTGAGTCCCAGGAAAGGCGCAAAGCTACACAGAGAAACCCTGTCTCGGAAAAAAAAAAAAAAAAATGAAAAAAAATCAGAATATTAAAATGAAGATTCTGACTCGGTAGTTTTGAGTTGGAAACACCAATGATAATGGTGACAGATAATCTTGAACAACAGACCCTGGGTTAGAACACTAAGACTTGATTTGGGAATTTACACTGAAAAAGTTTTTTAAGGTATTCACATTTTATTATAAACAACAAAGATTACAAATGTTTCTTGATCTTTTAAAATATACTAGGTGTCACTAACATTTTTTTCAAATCTTTTAAAAGATTGTGTCTGTGTCTGTGTCTGTGTGTTGGGGCACGTACACACACACACACACACACACACACACACACACACACACACACAAAGGGTGCAGGCCAGAAGAGCACATCAGATTCCTTGGAGGTGGCAGTTGCAGGATGCCAGGCTTGTAATGTGGCTACTAGATGCAAACTCCAGTCTTCATTATTGGATAGCAAGCACTCTTAACTACTGAGCCATCTCTCCAGAGCCCAGGTGTTCAAATTTGAATGTCTAAATTGAGAGCAGTAACCAGTAAATGGTAAGGACCAGGTTTTACCCAAGGTTATCTGACCTTGAATTCATACAAAAGAAGCATAAAGGCCAAAATAAAGTCTAAGTGTTAAAAGAACGTTCAGAGCAATTTTCATAATGGAATAATGGAAATAAGAAAGCAGCAAGACCCAAAGTGGCAGAAGAAAGGCATTCAGTTAAGGACTACTTCGAGAAAATACTTGAGTCTTTAAAGGGGTGGGGGTAGCTAAAGAGATAGCTTAGGGCTGAAAAGCATTGCTGATGCAGGGAGAAAGACTAGACATTTTCACTTTGATAAAAGTAAGCAACATGCTGTCATACAAAACTCACTAATCTGTTTGAAATTATGCTTTGCTTCCTTTTCAGACACTATTAATATGCACACACTTAACAACAGAAAATAAGAGCAACATCTTGAGTCTTACATTTTCTTCCATTTTTTTCCTATTCTTCATTTACTATCTGTTTTACACTATATTTTAGATTTTTAAGACACTTGGAAATATATGGTTTTTTTTTTCTCAAAATACAAGGCAAAAAATATATCCATGACATGAAGATGTACTACAATGAAAACCTACACACTAAGATCAGCTTCAGGACCTCCGCAGTTCATTCCCCAAAGCAAAACACACAGAGAACTTTAAAAGTTTCTGTATCAACTATGACGGTTTATGCAAGACATTTAAGAAGTTCCCAAGCTAGAGAGATGGCTCCGTGGGATCACTTGCTGCTCTTGCAGAGGACCGGAGTTTGGTTCCCAGCACCCACGTCAGGTCGCTCACAACTGGCTATCACTTCTGTTCAGGGGATCCAATGCCCTCATCTGGCCTCCACGGGCATTCTATATGCACGTGCATATGTATACACACAAAAATAACAACAACAACAAAAATTTTAATTCCACAAGATAAAGATAAAAGCAACTAACTTTATAATGAAAAATCCGACAGGCAGCACATTAACCTGGTGAATGAAGTTTTAATCCGCTATGTAGAACAAACTGGCAGGGAGCAGCAACTATCTGGCTCCAGGACCTAGCCTGCCCCACAACCGCTAGCCTATATTATAGGGATCCTCTCCTGAGATCCCGGTGATGAACACACATCTGAAGTGATGCTAGGCTGCAGGCACACAGCTGCCCAGAAAAGTCTGGCTCAGCAGGATCTGAGATCACAACGCAGGCTGGACAACTAGCAGCTTTGCCAGAGATCCCACTGCCTGCCCTGCACCATCCCGGAACGGAACACGATGGGACCCAGAGTCCCCACTGTCTACACAGCCCCCACCCCGTATCGGAGGAGACCCGGACCCCATGACCCTAACAGCAGACTCCAGCGCCAACTGCGGAGCCCGTGTCCTATCAGGACTCCAGGCGGATACTCACCATCTCCTGGCTTCCGAGGTATCCGTGACTATCTGGGACCGCCACGCGGGGAACAGGTCACAGGGCGACAAGGAACCCAAAAACTTCTGCGCCTCTGCAGCACAGGACCAGAAGCTCCCAAAGGCGTTCAAGATGGCAGGCTCCAGAGAAAGCCCGCGAGGTTTTAAAACCCAGCCCTCCGCCCTGGCTACATTCCTGATTGGACACTCGTGAAACAATGTTGGGACCTGGCCTCCACCGACCCACTCCCACACCCTCCTTGTCCTCCTATACTGATTCCCTGCACGTTTCCTTCCTCCTGAACGCTCACTGCACCACTGCACCGGAGGTTCTTTGTTTCTGTATCCTGCATCTGGTGTAAACAGCTAGTATGCAAGAATGTAAAACTTCGGTGGCGAACTTCTGCCCTCTGCCCTTCCGGGTTCTCCCATTGTGCTGTAAGCCTGTATTTAAGGCCTCCTTCCTCCTTCAATAATGGCATTTGGCCCTCTGCTGAGACGAATGACTCGCTGTTCTTGTCTCTGTTTTTTGATCCACAGCCCCTCGCTTGGACATGGTGAACGGGTGGTGGTAGTGCGGGCGTTACCGCTACAAGACAACACCACTGATCTAATTTTTCTGGCTTTGGAAGGTCTCATATATATATACCACAATAAGTTATGGGAGAGGAATCGTCAACTCCAAGCATCTCTTTCTGTTTATAAGACCTATATCTGACAAAATTCTGTAACTAGATATATTACATCTATGCTGCAGCTATCTTTATAATTTTGAAATGTTTTCACATTTTATTATGCTTTGTTTGAATCTAAAGATAGGTCAAGTGTTTATTATGACAAATTTTTGGGAGCTAATTCCCTTCACAGTGAGACCTCGGAGTGGGAAGTGAAGCTCAGTGGTTGAGCCTTCGCTTTGCATGTACAAGACTGTGGGTTCAATACCCAGAATCACAAAAAAAGTAAATACATAATATGGACCCTTTTTCAAATTTGCCTAAAGGCACCATAGGGCCCTGACATGCAGAGCCTTCTTTGGGGAAGTATTGGAAGGTTTCGGTGTAATGAACCTGGTTCTTGAAAAGGGCAAGGTGCCTGAAGCGTTTAACTAATTATTCTTTATCAATAAAAAATCGGAAGTCAGATATGAGGTAAGAACCTGAAAGATCAGAGAAGCAGGGCAGCAGCCACCAGTGACTTCCTACCTCTTCTGCTCCTTCCTCCAAAAGGCCTGAGATCCTCTCTCAGCCCTGCCTTATTACTTCCTGCCTCCTATCTGTCCACAGTCCTCCATACCTGACCTTAATTTTGGTCAGCTAGCGGCTAGCTCCACCCTCTGACTCCAAGCAAGCTTTATCTTCAGAATGAAATCAAAATATCACACGACAGGTACCAGGAGGCCCGCACAACTGCAGCATCCTGACAACTCGTTCACACCCCCACCCTACGCCACCTAGTCCTCCCTCCAAGCAGACGGCACCCGGCCTCTTCTGGGGAGGGTTTAAAGAGAATTTTCAAAAAGGGTTGACTTCTGTTTGTCAGTTTATTTACACCTGAGACTTTCAAAGAAGTGATCTGAGTCCATGTTGCAAAAGTGCCCAGAGGGACTGGAGAAATGGCGCGGGTTAAAAGCACTGGCTGCTCTTCCAGAGAGAGCACCCATATGGCAGCTAACAGTAGTCTGTAACCCCAGATCCAGAGGCTCAGTCACCTGCTCTGGCCTCTGCTGGCACTGCAAACATGTGGTATTAAATCATTCCACTTGCCGTTTGGGTTAACAGTTATAAACCTGGTCTAGAAGTCACCATCATCTCTGAATGGTAGATAATAACACACAGGGTTATAGACCAAAACTTTCTTTTTAATGGAATAGTTTGCTAAATTGAGTCTTTTTTAACTCAACTCTGTGAAAGGGACATAACAGTGCAGGCAAAATACCTATATACATAAAATAAAAGTAATCTAAGAGAAAAGAAAAAAGTGCCTAGGCACCAAAATAAGAGTCCTCATCCACAAATTCTCATCTTGGGCAGTGGCCACCACTTCCAACTTTCTATGCATTCTTCTAGGGACTATTCTGAGGATGGTCTCTCTGCTTCTTCCTCTGGACAGCAAGGATGACCGGGACACAGGAGGACAACTCTGAGGAGTCCCTTCTTTCCTGTAGCCTTGGAGGATCCTGATCAAATCCTGTCATCAGGCCTGCCAGCGAAGGCCTCTACCTGCTAAGTGATGGCACCAGCCCACCTTTGTTTTTTATAGATCACATGATACCTTCAGGCTATGTTCTCTATATATACTATATAATCCTAACATATTGTGGACTATGGGGGTCCAGCCCCTCGATAGTCCCCTCCCAGGGTCTGGGAAGAATCTACAACCAGCTGATAATTAATCTTTGATGAGAAGAAATGAATCTATGTACACGAAATTCCTTAGTCCAATACATTTTATTATTCTGTCAGTTTTCTCTCTACAAGCTTATACTCTGCTGCCAATGATGATAACTACAGGGAGGCTTGAACTGGGGTTCTGGCTGAGCAGAGCTGTCAGCGCAGAAGGTTATCTAAATATTCCTTTAGTAGAGGGGAAATGGTGTCCAATAAATGATGGAAAAGCTACAATAGCACACAAGAAACTCAGCAGGAAACGGCTGATAATCAAAGCCAATATCACCAAGGCTCCTTGAGCCTCAGCTTGACCTCTGGAAGGCCCTTGGCTTCTTCCAGGTCTAGCTTTGTCAGAATCAGCTGAGATTCTGCTTTGTGTATTTTTGCGGTTGGCAGCACTAACACTGAGGAGTTAAGGTGAAGTCCCAGGGTACACACAGCTTCTCCCTACAGAGCCTTGCCCTCCCACTGGTAAGCACCAAAGGTGGAATGGTCGGAGGGCCTTGAGGAGTGGGGGTGCTTTGCTTGACGTCTCAACCATAGCTTACTGCTCCACTGTACCCAAGAGGAAACTGAAGCAAGGTCACATGACCTATCAGTAGTCAGGACCGCAATCTGTCCTGCCCTCTTCAGTGTGGCTTTATCAAAATGTTAGCGGGGAGGCTGGAGACCTGAGCCAACTAATGCCTCGATCTTTTCAAAAAATTAGTTTATTATTGTATGTGTGGTGGGGGCGAGGGTGCAACAGCACTCATGTGGAAGTCAAGGACAACTTTGTGGAATCATTTCTCAACTTTCACCCCTACATGGGTCCCAGGAATTGAACTCTTCGCATTAGGCCCCACTGGTCCCGCCTCTCTCAGGACCGGTCCTTCCCCAGCCACCCTTATTCCCCAATCGCCTACCGGCCCTCCCACCTCCTCCCCAAGGGACGCTATCCACGACATCTACTCTTTTCCCTTAAGTCACCGCCCCTTAGGCCCCAACCCCGTGGGTGGCCGCCAGGGCTCGTCTAGCGGGAGGCGGCTTCCCTAGACGTGTTGGAATAGGTGGCCCCAGGAGTGGGGGCGGGGCCTCGGGTCGAGCGTGCACGGGCTGACCGGAGGAGCTTGTTGCGGCTGGCTGGCAGGGTGACTGCCTGTGGGTGTTGCACAGCCCGGAGCTCCAGGGCAGGACATGAGCTCCAGGACCGCCCCGCGGCTGATGACGCTCCAGAGACACCTGGGCTGGCCACAGGTAAGGAGTTGGCCTGTACCCTCAGAATTCCTGTCTGGGGTGTAAGGAGACAGGGAGGGAGCCAGGTGTGGGAGGTTGGGGGTGGGGTTCCTCCTAGGAAACCCAATGAGCCAGGGCGCAGGAGAGCTGGGTTCTGGGAAGCTAAGGCCACTGAGCAGCAGAAACTAAAGGGCTCATGCAAAGGAGAGAGGGTAGTGCCCAGGTAGGGGCAATGGAGGGCACAGGTCAGCTTTGTTTAGCACTTGGCACCTCATCCTGCAACTCAGCAATCCAGCCTGCCCCCGGGCAATAGGGCTGTTTGTTCTCCTCACAAGTGAATCGAAGACCCAGTTGGGCCTGTCCATACAGGCTCCACGGTGATCACGCTGACTCTCTCCGCTCAGGCTGGTGCCATGGCTACGGAGAGCAGTCCCCTGACTACTCATGTACTAGACACTGCCTCGGGGCTCCCTGCCCAAGGCCTCTGCCTCCGATTGTCACGCCTGGAGGCCCCTGGCCAGCAGTGGATGGAGCTGAGGACAAGGTAGGAGGCAGTTTCTGGTCTGGGATCTGTGAGTACCAGCTCCAGCAGCAGGGTCCTTCCTGGGTCCCACTTGGGGAAGATCTTAGGCAGCGGTATTGAGGTGGAATGGTGTGACCAGGGGAACACCGAGTGGGACTGAGTCTGGTGTGGACACTGGGGCAGGAAGGCAGAACTGACCACTGCCCGATTGACCCCTGAGCTTCCTTTTCCTCATCTGAGATAACAGGATAAGGAGATAAGGATAGTGACAATAACTTTTTCACCAGATACGCATACCTGGGACAAGGTCATGGAAATGTCTGAGACAGCTTTGTAGGGTCCTTGCCTGTCAGATGCAGCCCAGTGGGCCTGCTGGGAGGAGAGCCAACTGGAAAGGACTGGGAGAAAATAAAGGCCTCAATCACCTTGTGCCAGATGAATGCCAAGCACTGTATTTCTCTTCTCTGTTCTCAATAGCTGTGAACTGGTAGTGTAATTAACCTTGTTTACAGAAGGGAGATGAGATAATAGGCATGAGGTAAAAGCGAAGACTCCACTCTGGTCTAGTACTCTGGTCCTCGGTGAGCCAGGCTCAGGTCCTGGCCCTGGCCATGCCCCTGGAACATGCTCTGCTGGGAGCCGGGATCTTCCTGTTTCAGGGTTAGCCAGCCAAAGCTTGCGGAGTTGTGGCCTTGAGAGCAGGTTCTATTTAAGGGAGACTGGTTCATCCATCTCCTCCCTTCTGACCTGCCTGTGGTAACAAGGTGTGCCTGGTCCGCTCCTAGTTCAGTCTTTCACAAAAGCTGGAGAGGTTTACCTTTTGTTTCTCTGCCTTAAGATTTCCTAAATAGACAGTGTGCCGAGATCCTTGGACATTGTCCCCATCTGCGCTCCATATGTGAAATGTGGGAATCATCTGAGGTTGGGAATCAGGAAAGCTAGGGGAAGGAGGTTTCTCAGCTCTTCTCTCCACCTTGTCTCTTCACAGCTACACAAACCTGGATGGTCGCTGTCCTGGGCTCCTGACACCAGGCCAGATAAAGCCAGGCACCTATAAGCTGTCCTTCGACACAGAGCGCTACTGGAAAGAGAGGGGTCAGGAGAGCTTTTACCCATATGTAGAGGTGAGGGCCACGGGTGGGCGGAGCAGCTGGGCCCTGACTCACTTTGACCACAACCAGGTCCTGCAGGCAGGCCTCCTCCAGGCCAGGGACAGACTGGGTGGCAGCAAGTGTGCTCTCAGAAGGTGTCCAGGGACCTGAGGCACCATTACACTTCATGATGACACACTGAGCTGCCCCTGGATCAGGTGCGTGAGAGGGAGAGGCCAGGCTGAAAGTATCTCATCTTGTCTCATCTTCCTGTGTAGACAGGTTCTCATCTGAGGCCAGACTCCAGAGCACTGGGTGTGTTACTTCGGCATCACTGATACAACTTAAGGGCAAATTATTTATTTGGGTTTGTAATTTCAGCCCATGATTGCTCGGCTCCATGCACTCACCATGGCGGTGGGAGCATGTGGAATAGGAGAGCTGTCACCTCATGGTAGACAAGAAGCAGAAACGAACACAAAGAAAGACACAGATCCCTAGGACACTACCCAAGGACCTTCCTCCAATGGGGCCCCCTCCAAGTTTCAGTACCTACTAATGATGTCATCCCATGATGAATCCAGTTCATCACAAGAGATTAACCAGTTGATTAGATCAGAGCCCTCGGGATCAAATCACTTCCCCAAAGCCCACCAAGCAGCAACCAAGACCACTACATCTCCTGTTGGAAACACTGTTCAAACCCTAACATCAGCTTTACCTAAGTGTCTCCCGTTTCTAGGCAGTCACCAAAGCACCTCCTGCTCATCTGGAAGGCCCGGGGGCTGTTGCAGGAAGGACTCGCCATCTACAGTGTCTTCACATGCCTTCTCTGATTCTCACAGGTTGTTTTCACTATTGCAAAGGAGACCCAGAAGTTCCATGTACCTCTGCTGCTGAGCCCATGGTCCTACACCACCTATCGGGGGAGTTAGAGGGATGCGTTACCTGAGGAAAGCCATCTATCCGCCTGTCCCTTTCCCTGACTTAGCCACCCACACAAGTCAACGGCACGGGCTTTGTCGCCATCAAGGGACATGAAGTTGCTGCTTGCTGAAGAGATTCTAGCTGCCCTGGAGTTTTCTAGTGGGCGGCTATGAGTTGGGTGTCAATAAAGTGAGTTCTAACACCTGTAAATCTGAACCTATCACTGGGACAAGGACAATCAGCCAGAGATCTGCTAGCACTGCCCCTACTCTTAGTTTCTTCTCCTGTTAATCTCCGTGATAAAATACTCTGACAGAAGCGATTTGAGAAAGGGTTTTATTCTGGCTCTGGTCAAGTTGCAGTTCCTTGAGGTAGGGAAGTCACAGTGAAGGAAGGCTGAGTGACAGAGCTGGTCACATTGTGGCTGCAGTCAAGAAGCACAGAGCAATGCTAGGCGGTGGTGGCAAATGCCATTAGTCCCAGGGCTTGGGAGGCAAAGGGAGTTCAAGGTCAACCTGGTCTTCAGAGCGAGTTTCAAGACAGCCAGGGCTACACAGAGAAACCCTGTCTGGGAAAACCAGAGGAGGAGGAGGAGGAGGAGAGCAATGCACTGCTGATACTCAACTGCTCTCCCCACTTCATACAATTCAGGATCCCCTGCCCAGGGAATGGTCCTTCCCACAATTAATATGTGTCTTTCCACATCAGTTAACATAAGCTAGCCCCCACAGGCATGCCCAGAGGCCCTTCTCTCAGGTCATTCTAAATTTTGTCAAGTTGACAACTCTAACCATCACACCAGAAGATGAAGGAGGCCTCTGAGAAGAGACCACTGAGGTCACAGTGTTTGATTCCACATTGTTCAGGGCCAACAGTTTTACCTCAGATGTTCAAGAAGTAGTAAGCCTGTAGGGACGGCAGTGTCAGGAAGGGAAGGAGTCCATCTGGGTCTGGGCACTGTGTCAGACATGCTGTGGCCCACGAAGATTCAGGTTCCACTCCTTTCGGGGGCAAGGAGAAAGGAATGAGCCCAGCCGTGTGTGCAAATAAATAAAGTTAAATGTTCCTTAACAGTTTACAGACCAGTGCTAACACCTTTGTATATGCTCATTCATGGAGCTCACAGAGGGGACGAACTTGGAGCAGAACTGGCCTGCATGTTACCAGACACTTCTCAGGGAGAATGACCAGGCTGCCCTCAAACTCAGAGACCCACCTGCTTCTGCCTCCCAAGTGCAGAGATCAAGGTGTATGCCACCACACCTGGCATCAAGCCACATCTCAACCACCACACCTACTAGCATCAAGCCACATCTCACCCCTTTTCCCTAGTGGGCACAGCCTCTCCTGACTCCTCAGTGACTTTGCATCTTCTCTAAGGCCTGCCTTGGGAAGGACCCAGGTCATCTTGATCTATCCCAAGAGCAAGATCTGAGGTGACAGTACTGGTGCTAACATTCAAGTGCCTTCCCGGCCCACACTAGGGTCTCTGATCCCTGTTCTAGAAAAAGCACTCTGTTTGCTTGCTTGCTTGCTTGCTTTTTGAGACAGAGTCTCACTGTGTAGCTCTGGCTGTCCTGGAACTCACTCTGTAGACCAGGCTGGCCTTGAACTCACAGAGAACTGCCTGCCTCTGCCTCCCGAGTGCTGGGATTAAATGCACCACCACACCCAGCCCTATGCACCTTTTTAAAGGGGTGAATTTCAATGGGTAGGAGAAAGGTTTGATGAATTGATATGTGTGGAGCACTTGGAGCCTGGCCAGACTCTGAGAAAATGCTGAAAATGCTCCTTTTTCTCAGGGATGGTTTGGAAGCCAACAATTAAAGGGTATGTAAGGATAGGCTTTAATAAAACTTGGAGGCTCAGCTCTGGTTCTCACCCTTCCTATGCCCAGACCCCCAAGAATCAGCTAAATGTCATGGACACCCCTAAAAAGCATATACACAGCAGATGGCCCTACTTCTTGTGGACAGGTACCAGCATCTGAGGGACAGGTACAGCGAGAGAACCAGGGCCCAAATTGGCATGTTGTGGGCTGAAAGGTTGCAGTTGTTTGGGCAGCATGGATCCTGGAAACCAATGGAAGAGATTGCCTGTATCTGGAACCCTTAAAAATGAGGGTGGCCGGGCGGTGGTGGCGCACGCCTTTAATCCCAGCACTTGGGAAGCAGAGCCAGGCGGATCTCTGTGAGTTCGAGGCCAGCCTGGGCTACCAAGTGAGTTCCAGGAAAGGCGCAAAGCTACACAGAGAAACCCTGTCTCGAAAAAAAAAAAAAAAAAAAACCAAAAACAAAAAAAATGAGGGTGATGGAATGTCCAGACATGGCCCCAAATGTGGGACTCCACTCCACAGAATTAAAGGTGCGTTTAAGCCATCCTTTGAGGTTGTTGCTCTTGGTAAATCCTTTGGCAGACATTGGGCAAAGCACAGACTGAGCAGCCACCTCAGGAAAAAGCTACTTCCCACTTTCTCTCCTATCAGGTTCAGTGTAACTGGATTTATGTTGAAGTCTTTGATCCACTTGGACTTGAGTTTTGTGCAGAACAATAAATATGGATCTATTTGCATTTTCCTACATGCCTCCATCCAGTTATGCCAGCACCATTTGTTGAAGATGCTTTCTTTTTTCCATTGTATGTTTTTGGCTTCTTTGTCATAGGTGTTCATAGGCATGTGGATTTGTGTCAGGGTCTTCAATTCCATTGATCCATGTGTCTGTTTTTATGCAATACCAAACAGGTTTTATTACTATAGCTCTATAATAGAGCTTGAAGTCAGGCATGGTGATGCCTCTGGAAGTTTCTTTATTGTATAGGATTGTTTTAGCTATCCTGGATTTTTTGTTTTTCCATATGAAGTTGAGTATTGTTCTTTCAAAGTCTGTGAAGAATTGTGTTGGGGTTTTGATAGGGGATTGCATTGAATCTGTAGATTGCCTTTGGTCAGATTGCCATTTTTGCTATGTTAATCCTGCCTATTCATGAACATGGGAGATCTTTCCATTTTTTGATAATTTCTTCAATTTCTTTCTTCAAAGATTTAAAGTTCTTGTCATACAGGTCTTTCACTTATTTGGTTAGAGTTACCCCAAGATATTTTATATTATTTGTGGCTGTTGTAAAGGGTATTCTTTCTCTGATTTCTTTCTCAGCCTGTTTATCATTTGTATATAGGAGAGCTACTGATTTTTTCTTTTAGTTAATCTTGTATCCTGCCACATTACTGAAGATGTTTATCAGCTGTAGTTCTCCAGTAGAATTTTTGAGGTCACTTATGTGTACTATCATATCATCTGCAAATAGTGAAAATCTGACTTCTTCCTTTCCAATTTGTATCCCCTTGGTCTCTTTTTTGTGTCTTATTGCTCTAGCTAGAACTTCCAGTACTATATTAAATAGATATGGAGAGAATGAATGGATAGCCTTAGTGGAATCACTTTGAGTTTCTCTCAATTTAATTTGATGTTGGCTGTTGGCTTGCTATATATTGCTTTTATTGTGTTTAGGTATGTTCCTTATATCCCTGATCTCTCCAAGGCTTTTATCACGAAGAAGTGTTGGATTTTGTCAAAGGCTTTTTCAGTATCTAATGAGATGATCATATGTTTTTTTTCTTTCAGTTTGTTTAATATGATAGATTACATTGACAGATTTTTTGTATGTTGAACCATCCATGCATCTCCGGGATGAGGCCTACTTGATCATGATGGATGATTTTCTTGATGTGTTCTTAGATTCAGTTTGCCAGTATGCTATTGAGTATTTTTACAACAATGTTCATAAGAGAGATTGGTCTGTAATTCTCTTTCTTTGTTGCATCTTTGTGTGGTTTGGGTATCAGGGTAACTGTAGCCTCATAAAAAGAGTTTGGCAATGTTCCTTCTGTTTGTATTGTGTGGAACAATTTGAGTATTGGTATTAGCTCTTCTTTGAAATTCTTGTGGAATTCTACACTGAAACCATCTGGCCCTGGGCTTTTTTTTGTTGTTGACACTTTTGATGACTGCTTCTATTTCCATAGGTGTTACAGGTCTACTTAAATTGTTTATCTGGTCTTGATTTAATTTGGGTACGTGGTACCTATCCAGAACATTGTCATTTCTTTTAGATTTTCCAATTTTATGGAGTACAGGTTTTTGAAGTATGACTTAATGATTCTCTGGATTTCCTCAGTGTCTGTTGTTATGTCCCCCTTTTCATTTCTAATATTATTAATTTGGAAATTCTCTGCCTTTTGGTTAGTTTGGATAAGGGTTTGTCTATCTTGTTGATTTTCTCAAAGAACCGACTCTTTGTTTCTTTGATTCTTTGTATTGTTCTCTTTGTTTCTATTTTGTTGATTTTAGCCCTGAGTTTGATTATTTCCTGCCATCTCCTCCTCCTGGGTGAGTTTACTTCTTTTTGTTTTCAAGCTTTCAGGTGTGAAAGCTTTCACTAGTGTGAGATTTCTCCAAATTCTTTAGGTAGGCATTTAGTGCTATGAACTTTCCTCTTAGCACTGCTTTCATAGTGTCCCATAAGTTTGGGCATGTTGTGCATTCATTTTCATTGAATTCTAGGAAGTCTTTAATTTCTTTATTTCTTCCTTGACCCAGTGGTGGTTCTGTTCAGCACTGTTCAGTTTCTGTGAGTTTGTAGGCTTTCTGTAATTTGTGTTATTGTTGAATTCTAACTTTAAGCCACAGTGATCCGATAAGATACAGGGGTTTATTTGCTTTGTGTCTAAGTATGTGGTCAATTTTAGAGAAAGTTCCATGAGGTGCTGAAAAGAAGGTGTATTCTTTTGTGTTTGGGTGAAATGTTCTGTAGATAGATGTCTGTTAAGTCCATTTGAATCATAAAATCTGTTAGATCCCTTGTTTCTCTGTTAAGTTTCTATCTGGCAGATCTGTCCCCTGGTGAGTGGGGTGTTGAAGTCTCCCACTATTAGTATGTGGGGTTTGATGTGACTTAAGCTTTAGTAATGTTTCTTTTACAAATGTGGATGCCATTGTATTTGGGGACATAAATGTTCAAAATTAAGACTTCATCTTGATGGATTTTTCCTGTGATGAATATGAAATGTCTGTAGCATGAATCTTTTTTGTTGTTTTTTGTTTTTGTTTTGATGTTGTTTTTGTTTGTTTTTTGTTTTTGTTTTTGTTTTTTGGAGACAGGGTTTCCCTAGCTTTGGAGCCTGTCCTGGACTAGCT